TACATTATTCCACTACCCTAGAGCACATCCTGTTCCACATCCAAAGTACAGGGTCCTCTGTGTGCACATTGCATTGCACACTCACTTTCCAGTGCAGCCATCCCATTGCCTCAGAGAAGGAAAATCCTGAAGACAAACACAGGTCACATTCATAAAGGAATCACTGTTCCTGTGTAACTGTGGTTACTTTGTAACTGTTGTTAAACAAAAACAGACCATGAATTAGAAAACAATCAGGATCATGTTATGGCTCGGAGGGAGCAAAGACAATGAGAATATGATGCAGTTTTAAGCTCAAAAATTATTTTGAAAACTTGAAATAGACTTTATGGCCATGTGCTCGAGAGACTAAGGATTTTTATTAGAGCACAATAAATATTTCTCATGTATTTTCCCTAAAGATGAACACCTTATTCCAGAAAAGTAACAGTCCTGTTAAGCAGGGCCACAACATTTTACCCAGATTATCTGTTTTTGATGAACTATTGTAAATATCACAACTAGATTTCAAGATAAGGTAAGTGCCATACCTAGATTACCATTGTCTGTGGACTGCAAACAATGGTCAATCAGGATAATCATACAGCATCACAATTGACCTCCTGATTCCACATAAGTAATCTCAGTTGAAGGAGGAAAGCTCTTACCCTCAGGCCAACCTCTCAATTCCTGCACTGTGTCTCCACCAGCTTCAAAGTTGGTCAATAAGTTCAATTCTTATACCAATCCCTCTTCATTTCTAAGTCCCCAATAAAAGCCAGAATGATTAGCAGACACTCATTAACTGCTCTATTTTTCTTTCTCACTGACTAGAGAAGGACACACCTGGAAGGAGTTGCAGGACTGTCTTCCCAGAACTGGCAACAGAGGCAGGATTAGGTGTTCAAAATAATTCTCAATTATGTAGCATGAGGCAAGCCTAAAGTATAGGAGACATTGCTCTACATAGAAATCAACATAACTTGAAAGAAATGAAATGAAACTATCAATGACTTAGAAACCTTGGAAAACAGAAACAAATAGAGATAACAGCAGCAATTCACTTAAAGAAAGTATTTGAAACTGAAACCAAAAAGTGATTTTTAAAGTGATGATAATAATGCACTTTTAACTGTGCAGTAGTGGCTCAGGCCTTTATTCCCAGCACTCAGGAGGCAGAAGAAAGTGGATCTTTGTGAGTTTGAGGCCAGCCTGGTCTACAAGAGCTTGTTCCAGGGCAGGCTCCAAAGCTACAGAGAAGCCTTGTCTCAACACACCAAAAAAAATGCACTTTTAAGATTAAATAAAATTTTCTATATTGATTTTAAAAAGGAGTAGGCCATTCCCTAGGAGAAAGAATATCATTAACAAGAGGTAGATTGATGGTACAAATATACATATGTTCACGCAGAGATTTGTAACCGAATACATAGAGTTAGTCCATGGACTGTTTTTCAAATCTCTGAGCCGACATAACTCTGTCAAGCAAGATCGATCATATTTCTTACCAAAAGCAATCTACAGATTGAATACAATGCCCATCAAAATCCCAGCAAAATTCTTCAAAGATTTCAAAAGAACAGCACTCAAATTCATTTGAAAAACAAAAAACTCAGGATAGCCAAACAATCCTATACAATAAAAGAACTTCTGGAAGCATCACAATCCCTGTCTTCAATCTTTACTACAGAGATACATTACTGAAAACAGCCTGGTATTGTCATTAGAACAGACAGGAGGACCAATTGAGCTAAATAGAAGACCCAGATATCAACTCACATATCTTTAAACACCTGATATTTGAGAAGGAATGAAAAAATATCAAATGGAAAAAAGAAAACACATTTAACTAGTGGCGCTGGCATAACTGGATATCAACATGTAGAAAAATTAAAATAGACCCATATCTATCAGCATGCACAAAACTCAAGTCCAAATGGATCAAAGACCTCAACATAAAGCCAGCCACACTGAAAATTACAGAAGAAAAATTGGGAAGTACACTTGAATGCATTGGCACAGGGAACCAATTCCTAAACATAACCGCAGTAGCACAGACACTAAAGGAAAAATTAAATGGGGCATCCTGAAACTAAAAAGCTTCTGTAAAGCAAAGGACAGGTTAACAAGGCAAAATGACAGCCTACAGAATGGGAAAAGATCAAAATCCCACATCAGACAGAGGTCCGATCTTCAAATTATACAAAGAACTTAAGATATTGGACTCCAGAAGAACTCATAATCCAATAAAAAATAGAGTACAGACCTAAACAGAGAACTCTCAACAGAGCAATCTAAAATAGCTGAAAGACAATTAAGGAAATGTTCAATATCATTAATCAGAGAAATGCAAATCAAAACATCTCTGACATTCCATCTAACACCTGAAAGAATGTCCAGGATTAAAAACACTGATGACAACTTATGCTGGAGAGCTTTTGGGGAAATAGAAACACTTCTGCATTGCTTGTGGGAATGCAAGCTGATACAGTCCCTTTGGATGTCAGTGTGGTAATTTCTCAGAAAATTAGGAAATGACCTTTCTCAAGACCCAGTAATACCACTTTTGGGTATATAATCAAAAGATGCTTAATCGTGCCTCAAGGACATGTGCTCAACTATGTTCATAGCAGCTTTGTTTGTCATAGCCAGAATGTGGAAACAACCTAAATGCTCCTCCATAGAAGAATGAATAAGAAAAGTGTGGTACATTTACACTATGGAGTTCTACACAGCAGAAAAAAAATAACAACATCTTGGATTTTGCAGGAAAATTGATGGATCTAGAAAACATTATTTTGAGTGAGGTAACCCAGACACAGAAAGACAATTATCACATGTACTAACTTATAGGTGGTTTTTAAGCATAAAGCAAAGAAAGCCAGCCTACAAACCACAATCCCAGATCTTAGACAAAAATGAGGATGCTAAGAGAGACTGACAAACATCTAATCTACATGGGAAGAATAAAGGATAAAGAGACAAGATTTCCTGAGTAAATTGGGTGCATGGGGACCTTGGGAGAGTGTTGAAGCGGGAGTGGAGAGGCGGGGAATGAAGCAAAGAAATTGTAGAGCTCAGTAAATATCAATAAACAAAGATCGATCATATCTGCAGAGGATAGTTGCCTAATTGCAAATTAAATGTTACTTGACTCAAGATAACCTTCCTAATCTGGACACCCACACAATCACACAACATTAATTTACACATGCTGGGCAATTACAAACCTCTCCTGCTACCACAATCAGGCCCTTTCTCATAGTGGTGGCTGCAACAGCTGATTGCCTATGCTGTGCCCCCTGCAGTGCACACAATAATCTATTCTTCCTATTGTGGTCTGAGGACAGAAGAAATGCTCCATGTGCAAATCCTTTTCCTGTGACTGTGTTGGACAGTCAACTACATGGCTCAAATGCATTTTTATTTTATTTTATTGGTTTTGTTTGAGACATGGTATCTCTGAGCTTTGGTGCCTGTCCAGGAACTAGTTCTTGTAGACTACACTGGATTCAAACTCACAGAGACCTGCATGCTTCTGCCTCCCGAGTGCACCATCACTGCCAGGCAAATACATAATTTTAAAACTGTGAATGGGTACAGTCACTTAAGAACTTTGAGGGTGTAATATAGAGGACACTCAAGATTGTCCAGGAAAGCAACAGACAGGGACCAAAGCCATCTGAGTCAAAATAACAGAAGTTGTCTCAGAAACAATATTTTTATCCGGACAGAAATGCAGCTCTTCTACAATTAATATGCCTTTCTACAGAGAAATCACAATACACACTTAGAAGATTAATAAAGAAAAGTTTCTTAAATGATGTTATGCATTGATCTCTGTCCAATGCTCAAGGGGAGCTAGGATAGACAGATTTTGCATTCAATATATGCTGTTATCCATAAGTATCCCTTAGGATAATGGTCCAGATTAATTTTGAACAATTGAAATAGAAACAGGAAACTTGCCAGTCTAAATATTTAGGCAAAAGTATTCTCAGAATATTCTCTTAAGTATGCCAGTTACCAGTTACAGACAGGGTTCTAAGGTGACGATCACAAGGGAAAAGAAAGACTGGACTGGACAAGTAAAAGATAAAAAAGGTAAGGTGAGGAGGTGTTGCAGAAGATCCAGGCAAGTCTAGTAAGCTTCTTAAGAATAACATCTTAGGCGGGCAGTGGTGCAGCACGCCTTTAATCCCTGTACTCGGGGATTTTTCGAGGTGTTTCTCAGTAGCTTTGGAGCCTGTCCTGGAACTCTTGTAGATCAGGTTTGCCTTGAACTCAAAGAAATCCATCAGATTCTGCCTCCAGAGTGTGGGAATTAAAGGCACGCACCACTACTACCTGGCAGTGAGTTTTTATTTTTAAATCAGTGATGGCTTCTTTGAAATGGTTTGGAGTCAAATATCTGCACAATCCTGGTAAACAATGTGTACCAGGGCATTCTAATCTCTTCCAGTTCTGATTAGCATATATTTAAAGTCTGGGTGTTTTACATGAAGTTCTCCCTCTGCTAAATTCTACTTTGTGAGACTAATTATTTTTTAAGCATTGGTCAATCTATTGTATCACCAATTCTACTCTTCAACATTATGGTACAGTAGTGGAAAGCTACACAACACATGAGATGCCTTTGATAACCTCTACAAATTTAAATCTCAATTCAGATCATATTTAAAGCTTAAATGCAAAGTGCTCGATACCGAGAAGATATTGGAGAATCTAGGCTTCTCTGAGTTTGGCAACTTGTTTCCATGAGTGCAAGAACACTGTTGAAGTTGACTAGGAAAGTGTTTTTACACACAACTTCCTGCTCCCAGTACTCTAAGGAGATGAAGCCACAGAACAAAGTTATTCAGAGGCCTGCTCCTAGGTTCAGGAGATAGCAGGGACCATGAGGGACTTCACATACAGGGAGAATGATGGCAGGTTCCCACCCAGACCCATGGAGGTAACACCATAGTGTTTTCTGCACCTCACCCTCTGCTCCTCCCCATCAGGAGACAGCATTTCCTCACTTACCATGTTGGGCTTCTCCATTTTGCAAAAATTCTCAGTGCATCGTCTCCCTGCAACAGCAACTGCACCGGAGAACAGGAATTCTCTGGCGCCAGCTCCACTTCAAAGCCAAGACTGAAGATGGCTTCCCAGGAAGAGACCTGCACTGCTTCTGACTGGCAGGTCACCTGGAGTGCATGATTGGCTACTGAGTCCTGAGTGACAAGAGCACCTCCCATAGGGATACAGTGTGCTTAAAGACACAGAATACTGATTCCTGTGCAATCCATTGCCCCTAATAGAGAACTTCTCCAGATCTGAGAATATATACATTTCAATAGCACTTGCCCCTGGCTACAAAAGCAATCAATGTCATCTTCTTGCACGCCTAGGAACTTTCCCTTTTTCTTCCAGCACACTATATGACTTGTAGGGTGCACTGTGCTAGGTGGATCAAGCATTTTCCTGTCCCATGGGGTAAGGATGCCTAGAATACTAACAATTAAAGAGAGTTTTAAAGTTACTAAATGAAATATTTGTTCTGTGGCTTCATTTCTGAGGTCAGATGAACTGAAGGTACTTTTTATATGGTTTTCACAGGGATTTTATACAACAGGAAAGAGAAAAGCAGGAAACAGATCTCAATCAAGATGATCAGTCTTTCCCCCATCAGAAAGGTGGATAATGGCTCATTGCTTTATGGGTTTTGTTCCTTAAATTTGAAGCAAATTCCAGGTAAATGAATAATAATAAAAAGAATAGTGTTCATGGAAATTTGAATATGTAGAGAATAATGGAGCTAGAAAGAATGAGCACTATTGTTAGCCAGCACATCTCACTCCATAGTCAGGTGAATAAAATATACAACTGCAGTATTTAAGATTCTCTTAAGAACAGGATTTGTAGAATGAATCTCACCATGTATGTAAAAAGTAGGCTTATTAAAATGTCTCACAAGCTATTGTCCAGGTAACTTAAGAATAGCTGCCTACCAATGGCAATTGAAGAATCCAATAGCTTGCTTCTCAGCCTTTTGTCTAAGGTCAGGTGAAGATTCTAGTAGTTGTTCTGCCCCCAAGGCTCTGTGACTCAGCTGGTTTTAAGTATTCATCAAAATTACAATGCAGTAGGCTCTAATGCTAGTAAAGGAATGAGCTTGGTAGCCAGAGCTAGAGCACGGAGGCAAAACAGAGACTTTTCTTCTTCTTCAAAATACTTTATATGTGACTGCTGCTACCAGAATGGGAGATGCTGATTAAAGTTGGGTCATAGTCTTTGTTGGATTCAGGTTCATTTTTATTTTTTTGGTGATTTCAAGACAGGATTTTTCTGTGTAGTTGTAGAACTCATTCTGTAGGCCAGACTGGTCTCAAATTTAGAAAATCCCACTGCTCATGAGTGATGGTGTTAAAACTGCACACAGACATGAGTGAGAGAGATAGCTCACTGGTTAAGTGTGCACAAACACCAAGCAGCTTAATGTGGATCCTATCATCTCAAACTATACACATTAAAGGAATATTTTCCCATTTCAAACCTTTAAGTAAAATCTCCTCAGGTATAATCAATTCTTTGTGTAGTCAATTTGAACTGCCAAAAATAGCCAGACATTTCAACAGCCAAGACAGATGAAATGAGAAAAAATTCTTGCCTGTAGGAGGCATAAAGAATGTTTATAAAGTTGTTTTCAAAATTGTTTTTCCTCAACGAATGAAGCATGGAGATTTTACGTAGGGAGTCTGAACATGCTCATGCAATGTTCTCCCTTTCCTTAAGCATGCTCAATTAACAAATCCACTTTAATGATAATCACAATGTAAAAGCAAAGACATTTAGTGACATTCTTTCCTCAAAATCATGTAGGAACAATTGTAAATTAAACAAATGATGGAAGGAAATGCCTCTGGCATGTTCATACTGTACCATAAGGTTTTAGTTGAAATTCAAGTGGATGACACTGTGAAAAGTCAATTATCAATTTTGATTCTTATTCTAAAAGATAACTTTACCAACACCATAAAAAGTACCTTCAGTTCATCTGATCTCAGCATGAAGCCACAGCACAAACTTCTCCATTTATTACCTTAAAATTCTCTTTAGCTGTTAATAATATTCTGAGCATTCTTTCCACCATGGGACAGGAAATCACTGCACCCACCTAGCACAGCACAGTACACTGTACAAGCTAGCTAGCCACATTGTGTCCTGGAAGAAAAAGGGAAAGTTCCTATGGAGTGCAAGATTATGACAGTGTCTACTTTTGGAAGCCAGGGATAAGTGTTATGAAATACATATCTTGGCCCTTCTAGAAAAGATGTTTGACTGGGGTGGGAGCAATGGCCAGGAACCACTGTGCTGTGTCTTTAAGCACACTATAGCCCTGTGGACAGTGTTTTTTTTCATTCAGACCGAATTAGCTAATCAGGCCCTTTAAGTCATGCCGGCCTCTTCTGGGCAGCCATGTTCAGACTCAGCTTTGCAGAGGAGCTGCCTTCAGTGGTTTTTTATGCTGCAGTGTAATTGTTGCTGCTGGGAGTTGAAGAACTGAGAGCTTTGACCAGCTGGGAAACAGCAACATTGTGAGCAAGGGAATGTTGTCTCCAGATGGGGAGGAACAGAGGATGAAGTGAGGGAGACAGCATGGTACATCCTCCTGGGATTGGTGTGGAAACCTGCTGCCATATTCCCTGTATTGTGAAGTCCCATGTGGTCTTTGTTAATTCATAGACCTAGGGTCAGGTCTCTGAATAACTTTGCACTGTGGCCTAAATCTGCTTAGAGAATTGGAAGTAGGGTGCTGTGTGTACAAACATTTTTCTTGTCAACTTCATATGCCATACTCAGAGAAGCCTTGTTTCTCCAGTATCTTCTCAAAATTGAGCACTTTGCATTTAACCTTACATACAATCTCCATTTATATTTAACTATGTGGACAGTATCAAGGCATCTCACCTCTTGTGTAGCACTGCACTTCTAAGCTGCAATATAGAAGAGAAGAATTGCTGATATAAAGGATTTGCCAATGCCTTGGACATAGTTCAATATCACAAAGTACAATTAGCTGAGAGAGGACTGCCCCTAAATTACCCAAAAGTTAAATGTATTTTAATTAGGGCTGTTAGAGATTAGAATGCTAGGGTACACATTGTTTAACTGGATTGTCCAGATATTTTCCTCTAAATTATTACAAAGAAGCCACCACTGACTTAAAACCAGACACCAGGCACATCACCATATCAAAACACAACCTCTAACAAGCTTTTCAAGGAGGCCTACTTTAAGGCCTGATGTGGTATAAAGTTCCAGTTTTCTATTTGAGAAAAGCACAGTTCTTTCAAATGGGCAATATGACACCAGGTGACATATAATTGAAATGCAAAACATTGTTGTCTGGAGGAGTTACCTGATCAATCAAGGCTTTTTTTTTATGCCCTCTTGAGGAAGGAAGAACAATCTTGGGAGACCTAGTAATAGACTGGTGCCTAAGCCTTTTGAGTTTCCCTAGGGATCTGATCTACTGATAATAAAACAAAGCTCCTTCTCTAAAACCAGAAATATGTTTAGGGGAGCTGGTAATGGTCTGGTGACAAGGCCTTTGTGGAGGGGTTGCTTCAGATTCTAATAACCCACTCTTCCCACCATATGGAGATTTAGTTATCAGTCCCATGGCCACTCTGCTCATAGTAAAGTTCTTGAGATACCCTGTGTTCTCATTGTATAGATTTGTTTGAGTAGTCTCCTCCTAAATTCATGTGATAATTTGTACTTATAATTCTCTAATATCTTTCATTTCTCCCTTGGAATTATACAAGATGCTATTCTCCTTTTAAAAATTTTTTGAGACAAGGTTTGTCTCTAGGAGTGTCCTGACTATTCTGGAACTCACTGGGTAAATCAGGCTGTCCTTGAACTCAAAGAGATCACTTGGCGCAGCAAGGGTGTGTGCCATCAATGCCCAGCAAGATGCAGTTTTTCCTAGGAAGTTTACTAGGCATCTGCAAGACTTCCCTACCCTAGGATTTTATCTTTTTTACATTTTAGTTTTCCCATCCTTCTCACCCCTGTGACCTTCACCTCAGGACCCTGTTACTGAAGCATGACCTGCTCATTCCTGTTACCAATGTAATGAAGAAAGTATCCTGAGAATATCTTTGCTCTGTAAGACTCCTATCAGCCTAAATGTGTAGCCTGGCAAGTTCCCTGTTTCTATTTCAATGTTCAAAGTGTAACCTAGAGCCTAAACCTAAAGGACACTTAAGGACAACAGCAAATGTGGAATCTGTCTAGCTGGCTCCTCTTTGATATTTAGCTAGAGATTGTTGTCTACCATCATTAAAGACGTTTTTCTTTATTAATCTCCTAGGTGTGTAGAGTTATTTCTCAATGGAAAGGCATATTAATTCTAGAACAGCTTCATTTCCATCCTGTTAGAAAAATAGTTCCTGAGACAAGTTCTCTTATGTTGTCTCAGGTGCCCTAAGTCTGCTGCTATCCAGGGCAATGACCTTGCTGTCCTGTATATTAGATTTTCAAAATTCCTTTAAAAATACTGTACCACCTCACAGTTTTAAAATTATGCATTTGAGTCATGTAGTTGACTATGCATTGCAGTTGCAGGAAAAGGATTTGCATATGGAGCATTCCTTATGTCTTCAGACCACAATAGGATAAATAGTTTATTGTGTACACTGCAGGGGAAACAGTGGAGGCAATCAATTATTGGAGTCACCATTATGAAAATGTTCCTGGCTGAGCAGAGTTGGCATAGGCCTTTAATCCCAGCACTAGGGAGGCAAAGGCTGGCTGTAAGTTCAAGGCCAGCCTGGTCTACAGGAGCTAGTTCCAGGAAAGGCAATTAGGCAACAATTCTATGCAGACATGGTTGATCTTGCTTGACACAGTTATGTCAGCTCAGAGATTTGAGAAACAGGCCATTGACTAACTTTATGTGTCAGGTTACAGATCTCAGTAGCCAACATATGTATATAGAAACCATTAATCTATCTCTTATTAGTGACATTCCCTCTCCTATAGAAAGGCCAACTCTGTTTCAAAGTCAATATAGAAAGTTTTATTTAATCTCAAGAGTGCAATATTTTTATCATTTTAAAATCTTATTAGTGTAATTTTCAGATATTTTTTTAAGTGTATTGCTCCTCTTGTCTCTGTTTCTGTCCTCCAATGTTTCAAGTCATTAATAGTTGCATTTTATTTCTCTCAAGTGATGTTAATTATTGATTTCTTTGTCTCTTATAGTTTAGGCTTGCCTCATACTATATAATTGAGAATCATTTTGAACACCTAATCCTGCCTCTGCTGCCCAGTGCTGGGAAAACAGTCCTGCAACTTCTTACAGGTTTGGCATTGACTTGTCAATGAAGAAGAAATGTAGAGTAGTTACTGAGTGTCTGCTGATCTTTCTGGCCTTTATTGGGGACTTAGAAGAAGAGAGACCTGTGCAAGAGTTGAGGTCATTGACCAACATGAAGCTGGTGGAGACACAGTTCAGAAAGGGAGAAGTTGTACTGAGGGTGAAAGCTTTCCTCCTTCAACAGTAGTTGAAATTAGCATTGTGGAATCAGGTAGTCAATTGTAGATGTTTCATGAATGTCCAGATTGACCATTGTTTGCAGTCCACAGATCAAGGCAATCAAGAATCTGGGAAAGAAACTGACCTTATCTTTAAACCTAATTGCTATATTTAAAGTAGCTCATCTAAAATACAAAATCTGGGGAAAATGTTGTGGCCCTGCTTAACAGGACTGTTACCTTTCTGCATTAAGTTGTTCATCTTTAGAGAAAATACATGAGAAATATGTAATGTGCTCTAACACAAATCCCTAGTCTCTGGAGCACATGGCCATAAAGTCTATTTCAAGTTTTCAAAATAATTTTAGAGATGAAATCCACATTATATTTACATTCTCCTTGTTGCCTCCAAACCCAAATATGCCTGGATTGTTTTCTAATTTATGGTGTGTTTTTCTTTAACAACAGTTACAAAGTAACCACAGATGCACAATAACAATAGTTACTTTATGAATGTGACCTGTGTTTGTCTTCAGGATTTCCCATCTCTGAGCCAATGGGATGGCTGCACTGGGAAGTAAGTGTACAATGGAATGTGCACACAAAGGACCCTGTACTTTGGATGTGGGATAGGATGTGATCTAGGGGAGTAGAATAATGTGTACTAAATACAAAGTTTTTAAACTGGGGCCCTGTCTGCTGGGCTGGGAGGGAAGAACTGGATGATATTGTGCTGTCTGAGTCATTTGGTCTCTGATCCTCCAGTAGAGAAGCTGTTAATATTGTGAGTCCCAGCTGGGTGGCCCTAGCCAATGAGGGATTCTGGGCAGTCTTAGCAATCAAGAGTACTAATGGGAGAAAATGGTTAATTTGGCTTATATTGCCATATCGTCGTTCACTACTAAAGGATGTCAGGAAAGGAACTTAAAGAGGGCAGGATTCTTAATAAATTTTTGTATGTTGAACCATTCTTGCATCTCTGAGATGAATCTGACTTCATCATGGTAGATGATTTTTTGATGTGTTCTTAGATTTTAGCTAGTATTTTATTGAGTATTTTTGCATCTATGCTCATCAGGGAGATGGGTCTGTAATTTTCTTTTTTGGTTGAATCTTTGCATGGTTTTAGTAGAGGTGTAACTGTACCATCATTAAAGGGGTTTGGCAATGTTCCTTCTCTTTCTATTATGTGGAACCCTTTGAGGAGTATTGTTATTGGGTCTTAGTTCTGATGGAATTCTGCCCTGACACTCTCTGGCCCTGGGCTTTTTTTTTTTTTTTTTTTGGTTGGAATGACTTCCCTTTCCTTGCAGGTTATAGGTTGATTTAAATTATTCACCTGATCTTGATTTAATTATGGTATGTGATACCTATTCAGAAAATTGTTCATTTCTTTTTTTTCTCAAAACCATTGATTTACTATAATACAAATAAGGAAATCTTAACATTGATATACAAAGATTACAATTTGACCAAAGAATTTCTTCTTTACTACACAAAACATGATCCAGCAGTAAAAACAAACCATTTTCCTTTTTCCAGTAAAACAAATGATATAGTTTTGGTAATAAAATAATTTTGAATATAGCCCAACTATATTTACCTATTATCCACTCAGAAAGTTTTATCATCATTTAGTGTATTGGTTGTATCTCCACTAACAAAATATTTAACCCCTAAAGCAGCAGTCATTTATAGCAACTCTGGTACCAACATCAAAGGTGTTCGATTCCCAGCAACCACATGGTGGCTCATAACCATCTATAATGAGATCTGGTGCCCTCTTCTGGCATACAAACATACATTGCAGGAATGTTGTATACATAATAAATGAATAAATCTTTTAAAAAAAAAAGAGAGACAAATTTGTTAAAAAAAAAAAAAGGTGTTCGGTCCTTCCGAGCTTCCCGGGATCGATTCCTGACTACATTGCTATGAATAGCACAGCTCACACAATAATGCAGCTTGACATAGAGTTTGGGGAGCACATAGGCATCGAAGACACTTGCTTCAGACATGTCCCTGATGGCAGCCACCTCTACGATGTTCTGAATGATGAACTTCTTAATGGCCTTGTCCTTGGGCACACAGCGGGCGCAGTTAGTGCAGCGAACTGGCTGCACATGGCTGCGGCCCTTTTTGGCACGACCGTTGTTTCTCCTTTTTTTGGTCATCTTGGAGCCAAGTCCCGAAAGAGGCTAAAATGGCTCTCTTAATGAGGATATCTTCTTCCCTGCCCCTATATCCACCCTTCCTTCATCTCAACCCTCCCACTCCACCAAGCTCTCCTCAAACCTTCCCTTCTCCCTTCTCTCTCCCACTCTTCCTTTCCCCCATCCCACCCTCACCCCCACCCCCATGCTCCCAACTTTTGCCTGGCAATTTTGTCTGCTTCCGATTTCCAGGAGGATCTACGTATGATTTTCTTTGGGTTCAAGTTATTATTTTGCTTCTCTAAGCTTGTAAACTATAGGCTCAATGTCCTTTGTTGATGGCTAGAGTCTACTAATGAGTGAGTACATACCATATTCATCCTTTTGGGTCTGGGTTATCTCACTCGGGATAGTATTTTTTTTTTTTGGTTTTTTTGAGACAGGGTTTCTCTGTGGCTTTGGAGCCTGTTCTGGAACTAGCTATGTAGACCAGGCTGGTCTCGAACTCACAGAGATCGGCCTGCCTCTGCCTCCCGAGTGCTGGGATTAAAGGCGTGCGCCACCATCGCCCGGCGGGATAGTATTTTCTATTTCCATCCATTTGCATGCAGAATTCAAGGTGTTATTTTTTTTTTTTACCACTGAGTAGTACTCTAATGTGTATATGTTCCACACTGTCTTTATCCATTCTTCCATTGAGGGGCATCTAGGTTGTTTCCAGGTTCTGGCTAATACAAATAATGCTGCTATGAACATAGTTGAACAAATGTTTTTGTAGTATGCTTGGGTATATTTCCAAGAGTAGTATTGCTGGATCCTGAGGTAGGTTGACTCACAATTTCCTGAGAAACTGCCACACTTATTTCCGAAGTGGTTTCACAAGTTTGCATTCTTAGCAGCAATGGATGAGTGTTCCCCTTACTCCACATCCTCTCCAGCATAGGCTATCATTGGTGATTTTGATTTTAGCCTTTCTGACAGTTGTAAGATGGTATCTCAAAGTTGTTTTGATTTGCATTTTCCTGATTGCCAAAGAAGTTGAATATGACCTTAAGTATCTTTTGATCATTTGAGATTCTTTTGTTGAAAATTCTGTGTCTGTTCAGTACTCCATTTTTTAATTGGGTTATTTAGAATTTTAAAGTCTAGTTTCTTGAGTTCTTTATATATTTTGGAGATCAGACCTTTGTCTGATGTGGGGTTGGTGAAGATCTTCTCCCATTCATAAAGATTCCTTTTTGATTTAATGACAGTGTCCTTTGCTTTACAGAAGCTTCTCAGTTTCAGGAAGTCCTATTTATTCATCATTGCTCTTGTTGTCTGTGCTATTGGGGTTTTACATAGGAAGTGGTCTCCTGTGCCCATATGTTGCAGTCTACGTCCCACTTTCTCTTCTATAAGTTTCAGTGTGGTAAGGTTTATATTTATGTCTTTAATCCATTTGGACTTGAGATTTGTACATGGTGATAGATATGAATCTATTTTCATTATTCTACAGGTTGAAATCCAGTTATGCCTGTACCATTTGTTAAAGGTGATTTCTTGCTTCCATTGTATACTTTTAGCTCCTTTGTCAAAAATCAGGTGTTCATAGGTTTGTGGGTTAATATTCAGGTCTTTGATTTGACTCCATTGTTCAACATCTCTGTTCCTATGCCAACACCAAGCTGTTTTCTTTACTTTAGCTCTGTGATAGATTTTGAAGTCAGGGATGGTTGTTGCGGGAGGTCCTCCCACTCCTCCAGCCTATCACCGCTGAGGTACCAGCCCACTGGGGCGTGGTTTCTCTCCCTTTAAAAAAGCGGCCACTTCCCTCTTCTCTCTCTCTTCACTTCCTGCTCCGCCTGCGACTAGACTCCTTTCCTGGTTGCAAAGAGGGCTGTTGCCTGGGACAGTGATCTGTAAGTTTTTTCCCCTTTAAATAAATACCACCCTAATAATCATAACCCCGAATTGGTGTGGCATTGTTTGTGACTTACGCCTTCATTTTGGCGCCCAACATTTGGTTTTAGAACCTCTCCTTTCCCCACTCGCAGCCGCGAGTTCGGCTTGGCGGCCCCAAGTTCGGCTTGGCGGCTGCGGGCTTGGCGGGCGCAAGTTCAGCTTGGCGGCCGCGGGCTTGGCGGGCTCTAGTTTGGCTTGGCGGGAGCCCTCCCCTTCCTCAGCAGCCTCCTGTGCCTTGCAGTGGCGGCCTTGGACTCCCCACGTGGATTTAAACTTCACAGGCCCGCGTAGTCTCTGGCCACCTGGTTTGCTCTTTTCTGAGTCATTTTTAAATCTCCCTTGCAAGTACAGCTCTTAAGTGGCACGAACCAGAGCACGTGGTTGCTGAAAGCTGCAACCCCTCAGGGTGACTTGTTCCGTCTCAGGAATTGATTTAATTAGATTTATTTTGTTGAGAAACTTGAATTTTCCAGTTTTTAACATCTACTAAGGCACTGAAACAGGACCATGTTTTCACCGCGACTCTGCAACAGCGCCACCTGCTGGATAATAGGTAATATTGCAGTTTTTGTTTCTAACGCAAATTTTACTGCTTTGTTTTCACTAATACAATGGATTAGTAAATTTATATTTACTAATACAATGAATTACATCATACAAGGTTTATATGATTATGGGGATACCTTAATTTGCTTGTTACTAGCCTTCAGTTTTCTTTTCCATATTCTATCATTAAGGAAGAATATGGCACTACTAAGAACGATTGAATCTTTACGTACTAATAATGAACAGAAGAATATGGCACTCCTAAGAATGATAGAATCTTTACGAACTAATAATGAACAACTAATTGACAGGATTAAAATTATTGAAAATCAGAGGTTATCTGAACAAGTGGATACTATGACAGACAAAATTGATTCCATATCCAAGGGTATTAGAAAGTTACCTGAAAGGGTTCAGGCTGTTGAATTTGACGTTCAGACTTTATCACAAAGTTTTGATAAGGTAACAGACAGAATGTACCTCCAAGATGGGAATCTACATGATATACAAGAAAAGTTTAAGGAGGACATGTTATCTTTGAAGGAAAAAATTAAAGCTTTGGAATCACAGGTGCAGAATGGGGACCAAAAAATTGATACCTCAGTGAAATCACTGGAAATATATACAGGTCAGGAGATTCAGGATTTAAGAGAGACAATGATAAAAAGATTTGAAAAGATTGGGGAAATTATTGCAGCTGGTGAACAGAGTAAGGAGGCACAAGGACAGGATACAAGGCCTCCACCAGCTATTAGAACTGGCTTACCCAGGGTTCTAGCGACATACCCTATACTTAATTCTGAAAAAGCATCAACTTCTAAAGGCTCAAAGGGAGTCAGAGAAGCTAGATGGACGCCAATAGCAATAAATGATCTGAAAGAAATTAAGCAAGCTGTTGTTAATTTTGGCTTGCACAATGCATATGTAAAGGAAATGATAAGGACTTGGGCTTCTAATGCTAGAGCTACTCCCCATGATTTCCATCAGTTAATGTCTGCAGTTTTAGATAATGCACCTTCCTTGATGTTTGGAATTTATTTCAGAGAAGAATCCAAACATATGGAACAGCAAGGAAGAGCAAAAGGTATTGAGGTTTCCCAAGATCAAATTCTTGGTGCAGGAGAATATGCTGATCCACAGGTCCAAGCTCTTTATGACGATGAAGTACTGTGTCTATGTCACCAAGCAGCTTTAAATGCTTGGAATAGGATACAAGATCCAGCAAAAAGGGTTGAATCATATACCAGAATTAGGCAGGGACAGAGAGAACCCTTTATTGACTTTTTGCAAAGATTAATTAAGGCTCTGGACATAGGGGTAACAGACCCAGAAGCTAGACGAATACTTCTTGAATCTCTAGCTTTTGAGAATGCAAACATAGAATGCAAAAAGATAATTGGGCCTTTAAAGTCTAGATCAGCACCTATGGATGAATGGATTCAGCATACGATGAATGTTGAGACGTTTAGCTATAATGATGAATCTTGGGTAGGAGAAGCAATTTCCAAAGCAATGAGGAGACATCAAACTGCCAGGTGTTTTAATTGTGGTAAATTAGGACATTTGCAAAGGAATTGCAGGCAAAGAATTTCTAGGAATAATATCTCTTCTGGGAATGACAAAAATAGGAGACCTCGGCCTTCAGGTATATGTAGGAGATGCGGTAAAGGCAGGCATTGGTCCAACGAATGTAGGTCAACAACAGACAGACGGGGCAATCCGATATCATCGGGAAACTCCTTGGGGGGCCTCTCGCAGGCCCCCAAGCCAACAGTGGCCCAGTCATTCCCAGTCACAGTGGAGAACGTGCCTCACCAAGAAAATTAAAAGCTCCAATTTCTGCTGTAAAAAGTAATACTGGTCTAAATGAAGAATTACGTGTGGAGGATGAGTCAAAAAACCCAATAGGACAGAGTAAACGTATATTTTGGCAGACTTCTATTAATGATCAAAGACCAAAGCTAAGAGTCTGTATAAATGGCACTTTTATTGAAGGCTTATTAGACACAGGTGCGGATGTAAGTATCATTACCCCAGAATCTTGGCATCCGAATTGGCCTCTTCAAGAGGTAGATGTTCAATTCCTGGGAATTGGAACCCTATCTCGTGTAAAACAAAGCACAAGATGGGTTGAATGCATAGGGCCCGAAGGGCAAATAGGAAGACTAAGGCCATATATAGCCAATATTGCCATAAATTTATGGGGCCGTGACCTGCTACAGCAATGGAATACCCAGATTAACATTCCTGTATTTCCAGGAACTCATAATTCTGGGAAGGATATGATGAGGTATTATGGGAAAAGGTCACCAGCCATTCAGGCTGTACAAGAACATACAGCAAATACCAAACCTTTAGAGGTACCAACGGCCCTACCTTTAAAATGGCTAACTGAGAAGCCAATATGGACCAAACAATGGCCTCTAGCTGAAGATAAACTACAGGCATTGGAACAGCTGGTGCAAGAGCAACTAGATGCTCACCATATTGAAGAATCAACCAGCCCTTGGAATTCTCCTGTATTTGTTGTA